TCTCTCTCTCTTTCTTTCTCTTTCTCTCTCTCTTCTTCTTCCTTCCTTCAATTACAGAGAGTTTAATAAAGCCTTGGAGACAAAATTTATCATAATTTACACAGATGTGCACTACTGATTTCCCAAGAGTTTTCCTGGCTCTGAAAATCAGAGGTGCACTGCTTGGTAGCAGCCATGGTGTGTTTTCATTATCTTTATTTTTGCTCTCAGAAAGGCCCTTTTTAAAGTGCCCACAGCACTTCAACTGTAGAAAATTCACTGAGTACTTTGGAGAAATGTCACAAACTAAAGGACAAAATAGTATCTAAAAAATCATTACCACTATTTACTTCATATAAGATAGAGTTTGCATCAGTGACGTTAAGTGACTAAAATAGCTGAAATGAAAATGACTGCAATTGCAGACTGATTACAAAATTAAATAAATTCATATGCATCTTATATATTCATATAATCTTGAAATATAATGTCAGGCTTCCAGAAGAAATACTGTCATATTATCAGAGATAACAAGGTAAAAAGCAGCACTGCACAGAGAAGCACATGTGAACATGCTTTCACCTGATGTATTCTGAAAAGCAACACATTTTACATTAGATGTCCGGCCTAAGCCTGTAAACATGTTAAGTCATTTCAGGTGTTACAGTACACTTAGTGGACATTAGAGTACATGAACACTCTTGAATCAAGTAAGATCTCCAAGAAAAAACAAAGCAAATGCTGGATTAATTTCCCAGTCTAAATAGAAACAACACTGCAACCTTTACTGCTGTCGAACAGCCAGTTTTGAGGAATCACTAAAAAGTGGATACTTTTGCAACTTTCCACAGCTTGCAGATCTTCAAATGTGACACCAAATTCAAACATACTGACCAAAGCCAAGTTCTTGTCCACCTCTGACCTGAATAGGTCTCACAGTCCTGCTCACATAGCTTTATGTATGTTAGAAGATGTAAACACATCCTTTTAATCATACCATCTTATTTTAAAATAGCTTTTGATTGTACTGTTTTTATAAAGGTAGTTGTGATGATTACATATAGCGCACAGGAAATGCCTGTCTTCAAATGTCTGCAGTCGATGTCATTTACCAGAAATCAGTTTGGCCCACGATGAGTTGTAAAATCCACTTTAAATTATAAGGTGTCTATTGCCAAGAAATCTCCTCACCTTAAATAATTTTTAATATAAGTTTACACTTTTTTCTCCCCAGAAAAATTGACAAATGTGATTGGTCCAAAGGTTCATCAAAGTGTCAATTAGATATTATATGACTCAAAAATAAAAAGTATTTAAATGATAGGAAGGTAAATCTAGTTCTACAAACACATAGCCATGAGAATACTCTGATTATTCTGTGATCATGAAAGACAGGTTGTGGTGCAAAACTTTTAAAATATTTTCTAATACTCTAATATATCTAATCTGATAAAATAGATGAAATACAAACATGATTATTGCAATACTTAAAAAATCCCCTGGAAATATATTATTGTGTAACAATGTATGCAGATTTAAGGTGTAACAATACAAAAATTGCAATACATAGCTGAATATTGGTAACTAAAATAAAATTCTTCACAGGCTGCAGCATAGAGGGGAAGTCCTCCAGATTCAACTCCACATGTTTCTGGTCCCATTAGCATTTTGCCAGCTCATTCCTGAACAGTCTACAATAAACATGCAGAAAAGAAGCCAGGAAAGCACAGCGGAGAGTGACTTAGGAAAACAATTAGATGTCCTTCAGTATTTTGCCTTTAGGTGAGCAGTGTATTATTTTTACTCAGTTAAAATGCCACAGGTACACTGTAGACCGGAAGGAAGATATTATTCTCATTTTTCTCATGGACAGTTCAGATTTATATGGTAGTTGTCCTAAGGCAATTAAGCAAACCAGTAAATATCTCAATTTTTTGCCTCTGGACTAATTTTCTCAGGATGAAGTGGAATGCTATTGCTGCTGCAGTTAACTCTGTGTTCTCACCTATCTAT